TTGAATCTAAATATTGGCCACATGAATATGTTAGAATATTAGAATCTAAACTAGAAACTAAATTCCATAGAATATGTTAAATTATTAGATGCTAATCCCATGAAATCCCATTAGAACCCATTAGAAACCATTAGAAACCATTAAACCACCTGCAAGGTGGTGCCCTATACTTTGCTAAGTTGGTACCAGTAAGTCCAATTTCACTCTAGTTTATTGTAGATATATCGAACTACTTACTATGGTTTATAAGCCAACTTATAACTGTGGGGGGGCAACACCTTGTACATATGATATGTAACCATTGTATTAAAAACTATCTGTATATAATGAATGATATATACAGATACATATATATATATATATTCTGAAGCTGTCCAATCAGCTTTCAAGTGTCACTGGCAGACTTGCTAACTCACAATCGTATACATATACATACATATATGTATATACATATACATAGTGAACTTTAACATATACTGTACATTATGTTGATTATGTTGAAAAGAAAGCTTCTGATGGTATTTGTCTAAAACACATGTTGGATATACGGTACGCACTATGGGATACCAGAAAATTATGAGAACATATGATACTATGTATCGAATGATATGTACGTATGTACATATCTATATATATATATATATCCCATTCGTTTAGATATGATAGTTTAGTATAATCGCATTTAAGATGGAAACACGATGACACATTACATTACTAGTCAACATAGGCCATCCAAGAAAGATAATGATGAGTGATCAGTGGATTTAGCATACCCTATTTTGAAACAAACCCATGTCTAGTAACCCCCCAACGCTAGATAGACAAGTGAATCATACTTTTCCATATGTAGTCAGTGATAACTGGCCTTTTCTTTCTTTCTGGATACTTGGGGTGCAGTTAGGAATGTTAATGGGGCCATGGGAACACCCCCCATAAGTCTGGATATAACCACTGAGAACTGGAACTGCACAACCCAAGTTGTAAGTTGGTTGACAAACACCATTAACTAGTTAAATATATCTGCCATAGATCACAGTTAATCAAGTGATTAAATATATTAAATCAACGTTGCCATGTAGATACTACCGGGGATACCTTCCGGTAATCAAACATGGCTTATTCATACTTATGTTCTATCCAGATTGTGGAGCTTCAAGCCACGTCTATCTGTCTATCTCGGGATAACTTTCAAAGGAAATGTATGGATCAATTTATTCCAGGGGTAATATCCAGTTATGATAATGGATCAAGTTTGTATAACCACCATTTCCCTTGTTTAGAGCAACCATTGACCGATGCTGCACTCGTACCCCATGGCTATGTTGGCTACATCGAAAATCTTTGATTCGATTGAATCAGTTGAACCCAGATTTTTGTCTCTTACCCTCTGGTAAACTAACGTAACTATGGAAAATTACAATTTTTAATGGGAAAATCCACTATTTCTATGGTCATTTTCAATAGCTTTTTGTATGTTTACCAGAGGGTAAGTTACTTAGATCGAGATTTTTCTTGGATAACAAACCCCATTTGTTCATCCCTCCCAGTTGAAACAGGAGTAAACGCCTCGCGCAGAGCCGCAGCATCCAGGATGGCTCTGGAAGGTGGTGCCTCAGCCATCGCCGTTCAAGGGGAAATGGTGCGTTTTTTTCCACCAGAACATGGCAATTTACATGGGAAAATGAGGTCTGAAACCTCGAATCCTTGGATTTTGGGGTACTTAGTTTCAGTCTACGAGTTTCAGTCTACGTGAAATGGCTATCTCTACATATCCCAAAGAATGGAAGTGCAGTTAGGAATATTGATGGGTATTAACCAAACGTGGCAATTTACATGAAAGGTTTGCTTATTATTTTGATGGATTTTGGGGTACCTGTGTTTCAGACAAACTCAGGTTTGACCGGGAAAAAGTACTGTAGGTCCTAAATGGTCCTAATGAGTCCACATAATCATAAAATCTATAATTTAAATCATGACTCATTCATCTTTGGGAGTCAAGAAATTCCAATCGAAATTGGGGTTGAAAAGAAATGGTGGGTTGAACAGAAGGAAACGAAGATCTAACTAGCAGCAATTGAGGATTTGTCATCGTTTTTTTTCGTTGACCAAACAAATTGACAAAGTAGCAGGCTTTATTAGCCAACTGGGCTAATGTTTAATCAACTTCCAAGGTGCACCTGGAAAACCCAAATCAGTCCACGGACTTCAGGTGGCTCACATGTTGATCCGAACAGGAGAATGCAGCAGGAAAAGGCCACATTTTCTACCACTATGACTGTGTCATCTCGCTACTTAGAATACCAATAGCACCAAAAGAAAATAGAATCAAACATATAATATGTGTTGTACAACATGTGTAATTATTTGATTATATACATATGTGTACTTAATATGTATGTGTATATAAATACACATGTATGTATATCTATATCTATAATATACTAGTACATATGTATATGGATATAACCATGTACATTATATCATCATATTGATGTATATATATATATAAAAAAAAAACAACATGTATGTATATATATACACATATATACACAAACATATGCATATATGATTGTATATGTATATGTAGATGGCGATGATGAAGCCATTGTGATAGTTGTCAGATCCACTCCACCTGTAGTTGGGATGCAGTGGAGATCGGGAGTTGAGACCTTCATAAGCCGACCCCCATGAAAGTTGGCTAAGGATTGACATCATAAGCCCCATGAAATCTACGGGTCACTGTCACGGTGCAAACCTCAAGGGGCGGCGCTCCGACTCGATCCTTGTAGTTCGCAACAGTTTTTATCTGATCAATCATCTGGGTAAATTATAATATTTCACTAACCTGAATAGTTCGGCCATGTGGGGATGATTCCCCTCACCAACCATGATTCCCAGTGAGGGAGAACAGTGAGGTCGTGATGAAATTTACCCATAATCATTCAATGAAACGGAAAGATCACAAGAAGTCCGTTTCCCAGGGGTGGCACTTGAGGTGAGAGGAGTTTCCCACGTTTTCTTTGAGCACTGCGAAATCGCGAAAGCAAAATGTACACTTCACGCATTATTCTGCGCAGTTCACCGAGGGAGAAGCCAACTAGTGTGGCAGTCTAGTTCCAGTGGCTGGTGAACTGTGTTGTTTTTTCAATGCGACGACAGCAAGATACCGATACATTCGTGTATTGACAACTTTTTTGGTAGCAGCCGCTGGCCACCCCCTTTCCACTGGTTGTGGCTTTGCCGCCCATAAGCTGCAAGGACAGTTCGACCATACATGCCACAATACAGTACAGTTATTTACCAGTTATAAACGGTAACAAATGCTTATATATAAATGGTTATAAATGGTTATAAATGGTTATAAATGGTTATAAATGGTTATAAATGGTTTGAATGGTTATCAATGGTTAAAAATGGTTATAAATGGTTATAAATGGCGTTATCATTACATAAATGGGGTAGTCATAACTGACTTATATCTGGTAAATGGATGTAAATGGCGACAATACAGTACCAACTCCTGCAAAGTGAGATGCACTGCCATCCCAAAAGCAGCTTGATCTGTTTTTTTTGTTTTGAGATGTTGGTGGTCAATACCATGCAATATACCCCACTGTATCACTATTATATCCCCACCAGTGTTATACGCATAACTTATAGCCCCATTATATAATCAATATGTCATCATTAATTAAATCCCGATGATATTCTCATCATATCCCCATTAGATCCAGTTTTTCCCTATTATAATGTATACATATATATATATATATATATCAATGTTACAATCTTATATCAGTGTTAGGTCCCCATTAGTTGTCAAAGAATCACCTGTTAAATCACCACAAATCAGTTGGCGAAGTCACCGTGAAAAAACCGTTTTCCTTGGATCCCCCCGTGTTTTTGCATTAACAATTAAAATATTTGAAAAAAAAAACATAAGCCATCTCATTATACTAGTTGGCTGATAGGTTTCCCTATGGGTTGTGAATTTTCCCCATAAACTGGGGAGTATTAGTCCCAACAAATTGACCGCTAACTAGTCCACCAAGGTCGTAACCAATCAACCATTGTATTTCCATTCTATCACTATGATATCTCCATTATATCTCTATCATATCCCCATTAATTTGCCAAGGAACAGTTGTTTACCTGTGAAATCACCATAAATAACCATAAATCACTTGGTGAAGTCACCATTTCTCTTGAATAGTTATCCCTAGTCCATCTCACACAATATAACCTCATGAATTGCCATTCCCATATATGTTCACGATATTCTCAATTCTCATCATCAAAGGAACCGTTTCTGGTTGGTGGTTTCAACCCCTCTGAAAAATATGACTTCGTCAGTTGGGATGATTATTCCCAATATATGGAAAAATACTTCAAAGGTTCCAAACCACCAACCAGACTATAGGTATCTATAGGTGATATATCCATACTTACTATGGTTATCTATGGTTTATAAACAAACCACCAACCAGGTTCCCGTCCACCCGATGGCTCCCCCACCGGTGGCTGCCGCCCGCGGCTCAGGCAGCGCGCCAGCGGGTGGCGGCGCGCCTCCGAGCTGGTGCCGCGCCGCCGGGGCGGTGTGGTGCCTTTGTCGGGGCCCAACCTGGCGAAGCTGGAAAGATACCTGCAGTGGGCCCCAAGAATGCTGGGTCCACCATTGAAAATCATGGGAAAACATATTAAAACATGGTGATTTGGAGATGATGTTTCCTAGGTTTGTTTACAACTCCAAAAACTATGGTTTATTCATGTTATTACAGTATGGATTATTTTGGTTTATTCAGGATATATTGCGTAACTGATTTCCAGTCTCCAGAACGTTCACCCCTCAGCGCTCCACTGGTGGAGGGCTGACCCTTTCATCCACGGAAAATCTGGATTTAGCAAAAGAAACATGGGGAAGTTATCAAAAAAATGGTGTTGAAACAGTTGAAGCAAATACAACATGCACATTTCACAGATTGAACCTCAAAAGATGCAACTTTCATCATGGAACCGCTCAGCAGGTCGCACCTTTTGCAGCTCGTGGACCCATACAGTCATGTCCACCAGACCTAAAAACACCACAGAAATGGTGTCGCTTTGCAGTTGCTCGCGGTGAAAAGGGCCGGGGTGGTTGGAAAACGCAGGTCCACCGGCCGAGGAAGGGTGGCAAGCAAGATGGTATCATCTGCCGCCAGAAAATGGGTCTAATCTGAAAGCCATGCCTGGGAAGGGGGCACCATGATGGTGTCAGAAATAGCGGTGCCTGACATGTGTTTTTTTGCGGTTGCAAAGACCCCTCCCAGTGTTGGCTGAAAATGATGAAAAGCTGTACATGTTTTGGTTCTAAACATGCATGATCAGCGGCGTTTCTCGGCTATGAGACGATCTTCTCAGATTGCCTTCGCAGTCAAATCCTGCGGAACAGCACTCTTGGCTCTCGTCTGAAACATTGAGATCTTTATCGTCTCAGTCATCTGCATCCTACAGATTTTCCTGTGGACTGTCATCTGCATGTGAATTCTTTGTCAACTGGCTTTGAGGGATCATCAAGTTTGGATGATCCATTGCCAACGCGAAATCCGTGTTGTAATTTCGTTGGGCAAACATATGCTGTGCCCAGATCATCCCAGATCTCTTTCTTCAAAATGAACATGGCATATCCTAGGCACCTCGCAAAGAAATGGTGTTTTTCAGCCTGGCTTGTAGAATTGTGTATCCAAATTGATTGCACAAGATCAAAAGTACCCCTCATCTTGCAGTCACCTGTCAGATAGGTAACCAACCCCAATTCATCATGTGTGGCAAGATTTCCCTGGCTATCTCGGAGGTCCTCCACTTATATTTGTTGTTGTTTAAACCCCATCAACTATAGATATAGCATGATATCTCTACCATAAACCGAGTTGTGACATGTTAGTTTTAAACCAACAACTAGCGATGATAAATCACCTTGAAATCTCCATGTTTATTGGTTGAATTCCCATTATATACCAATCTTACTCAAATTGTTGATTATAAACCATCCGGATTGACTCCCGTCCCCTTCTCCTGCTTCAGTTCTGCATCAAATAGGCCTGGTGAAGACTGGAAGATGGCTCAATTTTCTGACCAGTGCAGACATTCACAGTTCATTCACAAACCATTGGGAAACTGTGGTGAAAAACACGCTGGCAATGTGAATGGGATTTCCCATTATACTCTTGAATCAACTAAACTGACAACAAAAAACTGTTGTTGATTACCCTGGCGCCTGGCCATTGATCGTCTCTTCTTTTCAGTTTCGGGATGCGTGCTCTGCGACCTAATCGCGTTGATCTATATATCAGTTTCCATAGATTGAGATGATATGACTTACATAATTATTTGATGGTACCCTCTGATTATTTAACATAGCCATGGAAAATGGCCCATTTATAGATGGTTTACTTAAAAATGGTGATTTTCCATGGCTATGTTAAATAACCAGAGGGTCAGTGGCTTCTAACCGCATCACTGGGATGAGATACCACAAGTCGTTACAATGCGTACTGTGTTGTGAATCCTTACATATTCGAGATCCCTTTACTTGAACACCGTCACAAAATTATATATACATCTGGTGGGTATAAGCCTAATTTAAGGGGATATGCAACTGGAGCATCTACTTTTATGCGCTGGATACTTCATGCGATATATATATATAGATATATATGGTGTAAAAAACAGCCAAAATATAGGAAACACAACAAAACACCTTTCTGTTCCAGCAGGAATCTATGATCCATTCATTTTGTCGACAGGTTACTATATACAGTTGCGTACACGTATCATATTATATAGATTACACGTATGAATTGCACATATCAAACATGTTCGTATGCATGCATGCATGTATACATACACATATTCTAGCTATATTCCCTCCGTTATGGCCCTTGACGGTTTTAACTGGCTAAGAAAACCCTATTGAAGTGATATACACTTGACCTTATTTGCAGGAGTTATTGCATCCCATTTAAAACTGGTCGATAAGGCCATAACCAAAACTGTACAGTGTGGCCTCCCCAGTCAACTATAGTTGTAAGTAAACAAATGTCCAGCTACGTCTTTACAAACCTCAGTAACTATACGTAGTTATAAGTTATAAGTAGAACAAACCAACAAAATCTAGTTATTGCAGTTCTTGGTACCAACTTAGCTATCCTTTGGGGGTCCCACTTTGTTACATGTTCCGTCCAAGGCGCTCGCAGCTCGTTCTCGTTCTTCTCAATGGGCGCGTTGCTCACAGGCACAGGCACAGCCACCGGCACTGCTGTGGTGGTCGCGGAATCAGTGGCCTCCAGGATTGTCGCTGCCTAATGATTTTGGTATATTCAATCATGGTTAATAATGGTGATTACTAACTTACTTTATCCTCCGATGTTGTGGCTAGCTGGCAAATCCCCGAACTATGGAGGTTTATAGCTGGGAAAATAATCTACGAAAGGTGGGTTTTCAAGCAAGCCATGTTTGATCACCCGGAGGGTGATCCAAGTTGTAAGTGCGGGCTGATTTTGTAGAACATCAATTTCTGGGACAATGAGCCTTGCGTCGGAATCAACATGAATGAAAAGAAGAGATGTTTATGTTTGTGTATGCAACTAATGTACACCAATGTGACTATACACATATAACTGGAATCTGCAGTGGATACCTCTATGGGATTCTGTTGGTTACTAACTCTTGTCTAACAGTTGGGAGTGCAGTTGGGATGATTTCGTTCTGTGCCTATATGTGTATATGAACTGGGGGGTGCACTGGATGCTTTCTATCCATAAAGGTCGATATAACCAATAACCCTACCGATGTCTCGCCCATAAATTTGGGATATTTGGGCTATGGGGTCCAATAATAACTAGTTAACTAGTTATAAAATGTTATAAATATATATTATATATATAAATATTATAAAATTCTCTGGGCCAGGGAAACAGTGGATACTCACGGAGGAAGTAACACCAAATTTGGCCTTTTTTTGGGGATGGAAGTTCGACATCGAATCTGAGGTTTTGGTTCCAAACATTTCCAAACAACAAAAACAGTTTCTATCTTTTGGTTAGAAACATGTTCAAAAACAAATATATATCTGATTTCTAGTTGGAACACTTGGATCTCCGACATGTTTGAAATGGGGCTCACCTCCTACTTGGCGGATCATCCCACTTAGAAAATGATTGGCAAGTAGGTTTGTTCGCTCTTTATATACGGGAAACACCCAATTGGTGGACTTGGCAAACCGTGTTATTTTGGTTTACCAAGTGGGATGACAATCCAACTAACTCCACGCGACCAAGCCCTCATGCATCATGGAACGAAATGCATCATGGAGCAACATGGTCATGTCTACTTGGGCACGAAACCATTTTTGTTGTGTTCTTGGGTTGTCTCAAAGCAATCAGGGTAGGCATCAATCATTGTAATCCATTCGCCAATCATTGTTATCCACTATCATCAGTTATATAATGGCCATACTTTGGGGATACCCCATTATCTTTAGACCCTCATTATTTCTATAGGTCACACCAAATATCACCACCTCGGAGTTCAGTGTCCCCTAAGGCCTTGAACTCAGCCGTTGCATTTGGATAAATTGGTTCACAGCATGGCTTCATTGCACACATGATTGCTACCTTGGGTCACTATTTGTAGGCAGATAGTAACTGGGGTTGCAACGAAGCCATAAACTGCATAATAATCCATGGTTTCTGGATTCGCAACTCATCCTCATCATGTATTTGTCATCCCATCATGTCTCATACCCATTGTTGGCAAGAGACCAATTTTCTCAGGGTCATAAACCAAAGTGATGAACCACTTACGAAGTGGAAGAATCCTGGCCTGCGGTTCAGAAAACCTCTGCCTCGGCAAGTCTGTGAGTTGTCTAATGTGGTTCAACTCACACAGGTGAGGAAACTATGCAAAAATTGCCCATGTGCACATGAATTACCCAGTGAAGACCAGTTTCCCGTAGCTATGTCAAATTACCAAAAGGTATTTTCAAATTTCTACTTACACTTCTTATATATATATATTATTGTTATATGTTTCGTGTGATATGAGTTGGGTTTACCACATAATTCATGCATTGTTTCTTATTTACATTATTCGTAATAAATCCTTACCACATAACTATACATAACTGATATGATTGGATGATGATTACAGTATCAGTATGACACGTAATCCACATATGAATAAAATTATATGATTGGATGATGAGTATGTAAACCTCTCGTACAGGCCATAGCAGCCATAGCAAATTGAAGTGCACATTTTCGAACACGGTGACACCGCATCCCACGACTTGATCTCCAAGATCATCCCCGTTGTGTTTTCAAAATCTCTTAAGCGGCTCCGGTTAGTAGTGATGATTGAATGATTGACCCAAGAAATTAATGTTGTTATATAATTTCTGGTTGGTGGTTTCAACCAACCCCCCTGAAACATGATGGAGTTCGTCAGTTGGGATTTTTCTTCGCAACTGGATGGACAAATAACAATTATGTTCCAAACCACCAACCAGATTTATATACAGTACCCTCCGGTAATCTAACATAGCTATTGAACATGGCCCATTTATAGTTGATTTACCCATTAAAAAATTGTGATTTTCCATAGGTATGTTAGTTTACCAGACGGTAACACTGATCCCATTTCTGGATCGGAATCATAATCATTCATCCGATCCCAACATCCCATTTCACAAAATCGTCCAATGGTCCAATATCTCCTGTGACTTTGTCTCCCCTTGTGTAAGGGATAATGAAACCATATCTGGTTGGTGGTTTGAACTCCTCTGAAAAATATGAAAGTCAATTGGGATGATTAATCCCAATATATGGAAAAATAAAATTCATGTTCCAAACCACCAACCAGATATACAAGCCCATTACCAATATGGAGTTCAACTTTAGACTTCAACTTTGCGTTGGATTCTCTCCACTACTTTGAAGTTCTGAGTGATAACCCCATTTGGCGA